ATCAGGTCGGCGCTTATACCAGTTCCATAGCATGAAGAGCCCAGGAGTATTTCTATTCCCCCCTGGATGGGATGCTAGTCCATCGCAGGGTTACCCCCCAGCATTAAATTCGCCGGGACCAAATTAAACACCTGGGTGGAGAGAGGTCTAGTGAGAATAAAGTGTCTTGCTAAAGAATAATAAAAGGATGTCCAAACTAACGAATTTCTTGTAGCTATTATCATTTGCTCTTTTTAAACTCGCTCTCTCTTAAAACTTCTCCGTTTTACCTCACTTTTTTGTCTTATCGCACTGTAATTGTAATGTGGATCGCTCGTTTGTACGTTTATTATTTTTATTATTTTTATTATTTTCTCCACTCCTTTCTGGTCCCTCACCTGTACCGAAAGTTATCTAGTTTTGTAAATATGGGGGCCAAGTTGGCTAAAATAACTAGAAAAGTGAATGGTTTACTTGACCCCAATACTCTAACTATAATATTTATAAACCGAGAAAATATACTGTAAACATAACAAGCTGTAATTTTATCTGTAAATGAAAATTGTGAGGGAATAAAGTACGTTTTGATATGTTATATTAAGAACTCAAAAATAATTATTATTAGCCAGTTTGGTTGGGCAGACTTAGATATTATACTTTTAAATTACGCAAAAGAAAACCTCTAACTCAACTCAACTCAGTTTCATCACCCTGGCCAGAGCTCGAACCCAGACTTCTCCTGATCCGGAGTGCAGCGCGTACTAACCATAGCTAACCACGAGGCCGCTTCCACTGGTATGCATTACGACACTACAGTCATATATCATATAGTCTATAGTCCACGTTGACTGATATCATTCAATGTTCGCGATTTACTCTATACTGATACGCGAAAGGCCAGGTCTGAAAAACGCGATCAAGGAAGAAGGGGAACGCCTGCCTTAAAACCCGGGCTTTTCAAATAACGCCAGCCAATTTCCATGCAATCCGATTGCATCAACTGTCAATTACTTTAAATCCGTACGTTCACCGATTAGAAAATAGCGCGCGCTCACGCCTGGGATTGATTTCTCTCAAAAGATTTCGCTGGAGTGAATGCCACCTGTTTAATGATATAGACATGGGAGAGAGTTGTTTGGGTAGAGCAGTAATCTTACAAT